AGTGAGTTTGAGTCTTATATAGACAACGCCTTGTATCGCTTGGAAACATGCAATGGTAACATATCAATCTTGAAAACCAAGTCCAGTGGATATTTTTTGAATTTTTACGGAATGACTATGACCTGGATGACTGAGAACCTTCATCAGCTCAAGTACAAATACTTCGTTACTATACTTAAGTACACTTTTTAGATATCTATGCTTTACCCCATTATTTATTTTTCTTCCTACTTCTGACTTCTACTTATTACATTTTAGCACAAGTATCTGTACTTTCGATTCCTTACATTTTTAAACAAAGGTTACTCATTACTCTTGGCTTCAGTTTATGCTTATATTTATTTCACATCATGTGCACCATCCAGTGCAGATCATTGGCGCCTTCCACATCTGGTGAAAACTAGCGTAATTGGATGAGTCATATAACGCAAACACTCATTAGTTAGAAAAAGAAAATCATCAGAAACAAGCAGGTGTTCTTCAAACTGCAAACATGAATTGTCTATGCCATGCTACAATGTAGGATTCAGAAAAAGATGTCGAAATGTCTGAAAGGCCGGAAACAGGAGAGAGCATATCGGGAGACGGAGACCAACAAGACCTCCCTCATCCTTGGTCCTATCTCAAAGAATTTTTCGAAATAGTCGAAAAATTGAGCTTTCAATTCATATAGTGGCATCTGGCTGTTTTTATTTTTTTTTTTAAGGTTACTTTATACCTTTATGCTTTAAGTAGTTTGGAGCACATAGTTTTTCACTTTTACTTGAGTAAAGAGGGAAAGTTGATACTTCAACTTTACCAGAGTGTTCTTAAACTGCAGTATCGATACTTCTACTTAATTAACAAATGTGTGTACTTTTGACACTACTAGTCTTAAGTTGAATTGGTCTGATGTCAGTGGTCCTACGCATTATGCATGCTCTTATTTTTTTTTATGCTTGACGTGAGCATCAGGGCGTGTTTTGTTTAAAGAGAAAACAGCATTTTTTGCTAAATTTACACAAATCTTATGAGCACTACACACACAAGATGCTGTTTATCAATGTTTGAAGCATGAGTGGCTTGGAATAAAGTAAAATTGGGACAACTTTACACTTTGAAAAGGGTTACATTTGAACTTACCAGTGACTAAGACAGAAGGTAAATACGTGCCTATTGTATGTGTGTTTATCCGGTGTTTTCATTTGAAGAAATAGAGTTGTGCAGAGGTAAACATAGGTAAAACCCACTATTTTTTTTTTAATCTGATATGCTGATATTCTCTGTATTGTAAAACAAAGCAAAATAACATATTCAAGGGACTGCAAATAGATTTATTGTATTTACATGGGCCCAGGAACTATAAGAGGAACTGACAGTTAGCATTTAAAATATTAACTTCAATATACAAGTTGTGAGAAAAGAAGCAACTGCTGCAACAACACTGTATTGTAAA